TTCCCTGCATATTTCCCCCCCTTACCAGAATATGTCGTTGACCAACACAAAGACGGGCTTTTCTGTAAAGGACATTTTGGACCTTCCTGACACAAATGACGAAGAAGGATCTATCACCGGAGCGGAGGAAGACACGGAGGGATCGGAGACCACATCCACGACGAAAAACACTGGAGTTTTGGTGCAAAGTCCTCTAGAAAACGTTCAAAATCTGCCTTTAAAGAACCCCTTTTATGACAGTAGTGACAATCCTTACACGCGATGGCTTGCTACTACGGACAGTATCCAGTATTCATGTAAGTACACTCTAACAATCCTTTGCTGATCTTGCTGATTATGTGATATTTTTTTAAAGCAATGCGGCTGCATTAAGCCATAATTGATGCCATGCAGCCTCCTTTTTTTCCCCCTCTCCCACCCCAGTGATGCCCTTGGGTGGCGTGCAGTGTTCATCTTTATGCACCGTGCGCTGTTTGTCTCGAGGCGCTTTTTTTTTTTTTTTTTGCTTTCTTTCTCAACAAATGCATGCAGTGTTTAGGCTCGCCGCACTTTTGCGTTGTAAGAATTCGATCGATGAAGCACCGTGGAAAAACAAGAGGGCTCGTAAGTTGATCAGAGTAGAAGCACGGTTGCGAGATATAAGAGCTGCATTCTGCTGGGGGGGAGATTTACAAGCAGACAATGCACCTTTTAATGCTTCACTGACTCTCCCTTTGCTCGTGCACAACTGGGCTGATGAATTTTTTTTTGTTTTGTTTTGCTGCTTTATTTCACACCTAAATTCCCAAAAAAGAGTGAAGCAGAAAGCAGCTCTGGTGTTTTCTTATGTGTTGTGCGTCTTTGCGTAACTATTTGGCCAATTTGTCCGTCCACGTTTTACGCAGTGGCACAATTAATTGCTAATGCACCCCCCCAAAGTTTTTCTGATTAAATCAAGACTGTGTGGCCTTTTTTTCTTGTGATGAAACCCCTCTGTGAACTTTACAACATAACATTTTGACAGTGTTTCTCCCGTTTCTTGCCGCAGTGCACGGTCTCTCCGCCAGCTCTCAGGACTCGGCCAAGTCCCCGGAGCCGTCCGCGGACGACGAATCGCCGGACAACGACAAGGAAACTTCCAGCAGCGGCGGCAGCGACTCCGGCAAGAAGCGGAAAAGGAGGGTGCTGTTTTCCAAGGCACAGACCTACGAGCTGGAGCGCCGCTTCAGGCAGCAGAGGTACCTGTCCGCCCCGGAGAGGGAGCACCTGGCCAGCTTGATCCGCCTCACCCCGACCCAGGTGAAGATCTGGTTCCAGAACCACCGGTATAAGATGAAGAGAGCCCGGGCCGAGAAAGGTATGGAAGTGACCCATCTCCCTTCTCCCAGGCGGGTGGCCGTGCCCGTCTTAGTCAGGGATGGAAAGCCTTGTCACACTCTTAAAGCTCAGGACTTGGCGGCCACTTTTCAGGCCGGGATCCCCTTCTCGGCATATAGTGCCCAGTCACTCCAACACATGCAGTATAACGCGCAGTACAGCGCCGCGGCCACGCCACAGTTCCCCACAGCACATCACTTGGTGCAAACGCAACAGTGGACTTGGTGAGAGAAATTATAGAGACTTGGCTTGGAGGCGCGATAGGGAGTTTCACCACAAAGCAAAGAGAAAAAGAAAAAAAAAATAAAACACAAAAAACAAAAGACTTTTCATTTTTGCAGCTTGACTCATACATATACTACCATTTTTATTCGGGGCTCATGTGTGCGCCGTGTTTACATGTTTTCGTTAAGAGAACTGGGTCCAAACCTCTCCCTTATAGATTTTATTAAGAATGTCAATGCTCTTCTTGTGAATTTTTTTGTAAAGTATGTTGTGTGTTGGTTGTAGAGATGTTTTCCTCTTCTTATTTTTTTTTTCTTTTGTCCCTTCGTGTTATTATCAGCACGTACGAACCACTTTATAATTATAGAAATTTTAATTTCTTGCTTCTTTTATGGACCGAAAAAATATTTATGGCCATGAATAAACACTGGCAAGTTTTCAGCTTTTTTCCTTTGGTTTTTATTCCTTGTAAATATTTTGTGGCAAGTGTTTGCAACCTAGAGAACTTGCGGGAGCGTTGAGATGGAAAAACGGGCTGTAGCTTATATATATATTTCCAAATTTCCAGAAAAATGAAGGAAAGGTTTTGTGTTTGTTTTTGTTTGGCATAAAAACATCAGACTGCAGTGTCAGATTACACATGTAAAATACAATGTAGCCGCGCGGTGATGGCAAAAAAAAAAATCCTAATTTTTAAATGAGGAATTTTTAAATAAAATGCTGTGTTTCTCAAATAAGGGTTTGGTTTATCTAAGTGTCCCATTCGATTTGAAAAGACACCGCTAAACACCGGAATGAAAGGCGAGGAGCCAAACACTAGATGGAGTTGACCATGGGAATAAATCTCCTGCGCACTTCACTCCTTTTCTTTTTAAAGCAAATTTAATCCCGAGAATATTTTTTCTGAGTCCGGACACCTCACTAATAAAGAGCCTAAAGTCACTTGTGAAATGGGACTAAAATCCACTCACTTAATATAAGTGGGCTTCTCAACATAAGAAGCTTTTGAGTCAAAAGCTCTCCTTTTTGTCAGCGTCCCCAACCACTCCCGGCCTTGGAGTGTAAAGTGGTAGACGGTGGAGGAAAAAAAAAACATTGTTTAATGCAATAAATGTTTTGTTATCTTGTTAAGCGCTAAACTGCAAATAGAGCAGGAATAATCAATGAGTCACCAGCCTTCTTTGTTTAACCGCCGGCCAACGCTCTGCGCGGATACGCACGACTTACAGGGGCATTAACCGCCTAATAAAGTTATATTTTACATCATCACATAACGTGCCAGCAATGACACCCTGCTTTACGATATGCTTTACACTATTAGACGCCTTGTGCTTTTACGCAGGGACCAAAACAAGCACAAATGGCTCCCCGGGTGATCCGCAGAGCGCACTGCGGATTATCAGACTCCACTCAATATCTTGGGTAAATATGATGACCTAGTAGAAAAATCTATGCATTTTGTTTGTCCCGGGACACCAGAAAAAAAAAAAAAATCTCCCAGCAGATGTTGGAGTCGCCCCTATCATCGCTGAACAAACAGCCAAATTGAGCAAATTTGCTAATTATTTACAGAATTGAGTCTCAGGGGGCTACTGCTTTGTGGACGACACAGACTCAATTTGTCCCTGACAGGAAGGTTTTGTGTTTCACCACTGGTTGAGCTTGTAGGTCAAATAAATCAGCAGCTTGATCATAGTTTTTTTTTTTCCTAATTCCTTTGTCGATATAAAAAAAGAATAAATAAATAAAATAGAAACGAGAGGGAGGAATGAGCAGCGTGCCAATCATCGCTTGTGCCATAATTATTCTGGAAACCCGATGCGAGGAGCAAAATGATTCTAAAGTGAACTGATAAAAGGCGGTGATAAAGGACTGGCTGTGTGGTTGGATTTTTAGTGATTATTGCTTAAAATCAAACTTAAATCCTGCAACAATAACATAAACAAACAAACAAACAAAAAAAACCTCACAAGTCAGAGAAACTCGCTGACTCTTGGGTCAGATTTTGTCCATCTGATGAGGCGGTTCTGTGACTCCATCATTGCATAATACAGTACACAAGGCAACACAAAGACAAAAGCCCAGGCTTGGTTTTTGCTGGATGTTAGAGGCGTGCATGTTAACGAGCAGCAGGAGTGGAGATACAGACAGTGAAGATAGACAGAGTTTCTTGGTGCTGTTCAGAGTCAGGGAGATGTATCCTTGGGCTTTTTGTCCTGCCTGTCACTTGGTGCCATTGTGATCTTTGCTGCACACGTTGTGTCCCATATGGGCAGCTGGGCTCGGAAAAGGAGAAAAGGATCTCTTACAAACCCCAAATTGTATCAAGCTCTCAAATAAAGCATTGTTGTCTCTCAAAGAAAAACGAATTAAAAATTCGTGCTATATCTATTCTGGTCAAAAAAAAGAAGCCCCATTCACCCATAACAGGGAGTCCTTCTTCCTTGATAGAGCTATGCCAACAACAGCCTTCTCATTTCTCTTTTCCCTCTATCCCCCCATTCTCCAAAGTCAAAGGCTGATTATTGTCTGTCCAAAAAAGTGACTCGTCACAGCGCAAAAACTATTTTTAATTCCAGACAGTGTTCTTCCTTGTTTGCTTTGAGTCCCCGCTGGTATGCGTGGGCCTATTTCTAAAACGAACATGGAAAAATATTTGACACTATTTGCCCCGTTGAAACTCCGCGTTGAGGAGTTAAAGTGCAAAACTGAACCACCATTAATTATCAGTTAAAAGCTGAATTTCAAAAATACTGACTTTTACGCACACGTGCTGCGTAAATTCAATCCCAAGGCGCTTGTTGCATTTGGAGAAATCTACAAAATAAAACAACTGAATTGCGTGAGAAGTAAATGCTAAAGATTCCATTTGCATCCTAATTTTATTGTGAGCCTGGAGGATGCAGATGTTTTTCCATGGGAACAGAAACTGGGGCAGACTGGCAGGTGTTTGGTGCGCCCGGATCTGGCGCGTTTGGAACGACTGGGAATTAGCGCATGGGGATGTTTGGAAATATCACATTTTATGGTGCATTTTAGTCATATATTTTATTTTCTCCCCTCTCTGGACCACCTAAATCTAAACACCAGAGCCCGCTCACTTGCAAATTTCTCACAAATTCAAACGCATTTAAGGTCAACTCAAATAATTTCTTTGCGCATCCAGTCAAGCTCTGTTGTGTTTACCCCAAAAAAACTGAAGCCAAACAGAATTGTTAAAAAAGGTAAACTTTTAGTGAGCAGTATTCGCTTTGCAACCCTCTTGTATTGTCATTAACGCACCAGAAAATTACACTCCTCTTCCAGCAGCTCAGCAACAGGGTCAGATTTATCGGAAATTGCTTTTGGCTGCTTGAAGGGATAAAGCAGTGCGACATTAAAACAAGCATCTTGGCGTGCAAGCATAGTTCAACCTGCGTGGATAACACCATTATATACCTTGGAATACAATACTTGAGGAAATATGCACTTGGGACACCGTGGATCTTCGTCATCCTGCCCATTTGAACCTCGACATGAATCATTTTTCTATCGTGCACATCGCCAAATAAACGAGGATTTCAAAGCTATAATAAGCGGTGCTTTTCATTTAAAGGAAGCTATCTGGGTTTTATTGCCTTAAAGGAGATCCAGATTAGATTCGCCACAGTGCCGATATTAAAGGAGAGAGAGAGAGAGAGAGAGAGAGAGAGGGAGTGATGGAGGGGAGGGAGAGTGCGCAGGGAGGATTTGTTGCGCCAGGCTGCCACGAGATGGAAGCAGAGGTCTTTAGAAGGCGTCATGCAGCTTTTTTCTTTTCTTTTTTTTCCTCTTCCACCTGCAAATGTCGTCCAACTTCATGCAATTCCATCACTACAAATTACTGCACCTAAATCACATCCACAACTGCTGCAATGAACCTGTTTTTGTTTTTTTCTTTTTTCTTTCTCTCTCTCTTTCTTTAATGAACAGACATCCCAGCAAACTTGACTGTCGTTTAAGTGCATGATTGTGGTTTATGACACTGTTATGGATCTTGAGAGCATAATCATATCGCTCTTCAAAACAAACTAGACTTGACGTAAACAGTCCACAGGCAATTAGTACAGTTTGTTTTTTCCAAAGAAGGAAAGAGAGAGAGGAGGAGAGAGGAGAGAGGAGGAGAGACTCTGGGTGTCTCCACGGTGTGGCGCAATAGGATAGGAGGACAAACGTGGTGCAGATTAATTCACTTCAGTGAAAGTGAACAATAGAGGTGAAGTGAGGGTTTCCAAAGAAAGTCTCAACTCAATCAGTGCCATCCACAACAAAGAAACCTGCGAGTCAAACGTCCTCAGCAATATGGAGAACTTCTCAGCGTACATTTATTGACTAGAACTGATCAAAGAAAGCTGTTTGTCAGATTTAATCTACTACCTACTAAAAAAAAAAGCAGCTCTATGGGGCTTAAAGGCTTCCCTTCAAACCAAAATAAAACAACAGGGGACTAATAATCACGTCTGCTACATAGAATCAACTCATTGGTGTTATTTAAATGTCTGTCACGCCCTGCAGTTACATAGAGTTAGTCTGCAGGCTGCAAAAAAAAAAAAAAAAATAAAAAAAATGCCTGAGCACAATCATCTCCTCATGCAGAGAAGTATGCAAAACACTGCAAAATGGGTCAAATGACGTCAAAGTAAAAGGCTACCATCTTTACGCACCTGCTCAGTTCAGCATCAGTGAGCTTGCACCTGTAGGGGGCCTCATTGGGTTAGAAAGATGGAGCAGCAGGGGGTGGAGAGATGCTGAACATGATGGAAGAGAGGGCTGAGGGAGGAGGAAATACATTTTCCAATCCGCAAGAGTTTTTTTTTTTTTTTTGACTTTAGGAAGAAAATCACCCAACAGCTTGAAACCAACAGCAGACAGAGCAGAAGCATTTCCACATACTGACATAAGGAGTTCTGCTGGTTACTCATTTTTTGGGGGAGAAGACAGATCAGTAGACATGAGAGGGGGGGAAGTATCATAATCAAAAGCCTGCATTGTGAAGGCTGGTGAGAGCAGCAGCAGTGTGTGTGTGTGTGTGTGTGTGTGTGTGTGTGTGTGTGTGTGTATTTGTGTGAAAGGTGCAGCGTGGACCGGCTGCAAAGTTTACTCAGTGGGACGGAGCGTCTGCAGAGCATTGTTCGCACCAACCTCCCCATCTGCATGAGAAGAACCTGGCGAGCCGAGAGCTGACTAACACAAAAAAAAATATCTGTGCTGTAACCAAAGAAGAAGCAGAAGAGCTGGAGCCTGGCTGCAGTTTTCTGTGGAGCTGAATGGAGAGAAAAAAGAGAGAAATCCCAGCAGCATCTTTGAGCATCTTCTGTCATGTTGTGTTCCTGTATCACATCACATGAAAAGTAGAACATTAATACTGTAAAGTTAGCAGTAAGTTGGTTTATTTCATGATAAACGAGGAGTTCAGTTC